GCAGAACAGGGTTTAAGGGAAATAACAAAAAAATAAAATTTATTAAAAGCTACAAAGGACAGGAAATTATGGAGAGCTATAATCGTCCCCATCCTGAAGAGATACACCATACAGAAGAAGAAGAAGAAGAAGAAGAAGAAGAAGAAGAAACAGCTTTTTTGAGCTTTATCTTTCTTCTTCTCCTTTTTCCTTATGGATAATTTTGGATATTTTTACAAAGCCCAAATTTTCACCCTCCACAGCAAACTGATGTTTAATATTTTTTTTTGTCTGTTTTAGTGCCATATCAACCTCTATAGGTTATTTAATGCCAAAATCTAAATATTTTTGTATGCAATTCTATTTTTTACTGTGGAGATATAATGGTTTTAGTGATACAAGTCTTACTAATTAGCCCATATATGAGGAGAGAAGAGGTGGATTCATACCTATCCCAAGTGTATTTGAGCATAAGTGAATATAATGAATCCAACCGGAATTAAAGATTCTGAGCCATTATCCATTGCACCAAGCACACATCTAAGCTTATAGCACCTGGTATTCCCAATTGGTCAAACATCTAGGTACTGGCCATGCTTGATGTTGCTTAACTTCAGTGATCATACAGGAACCAATGTTTCAATATGATATAGCCATAAGCCAGCTGCTGTTTAACAATTTTAATTCATTAAACTATGATATTTGATATTAGAAATGTCATTAAATTATTAATATCATGAGGTACAGATCATGGGATAATAGTTATTAAGCTAATCTTGTTAAGTATTCCTATTGTGTAGTAAATTCAGTACTCAATAAGTGCCCAATAATTGTGGCCTTGTGCCAAACTAAGCTAAGCTTAAAAAATGGATATGTTTCATTTAATAGTAGCACTGAATTGTTATACAACTTAGTTTTACTGAATGGCTCTGGCCTAAAATAAAATTTAGTAAAATAAGGACTACTTTTGGCAAAATAGACACAAAACCTGATAAACAGTTTTTTTTTTAAAGATAAAAGATAAATAAGGCTCCAAAATCTGTCTCACTTATCATGACTTCCCTCTGAACTTTCTACAAAAATTTTCATGGCAATTGTTCTGATGAGATTTTCTCCTTAGTGCCTCAACTACATGAATTTAAGTGTACTACTAGATTGGCAATTAAGTCTCACGGCGTTACTATTGAACTCACTTGATGCAATCTTATGTTCTCATAGTTTCTTTTCTTGCACTTCTCACTTGTGGAACTCACTTTCTTGCTTCCTTGCTACTTAAAAACTTCAAAAATTTAAATGCAATGCCAATTGCTATTTTCTGTCTATGTTATCCCTTTTTTTATTGTCCATTTTCTCATTCTTTTTCATTTCAAGTAGCTCCCTTGTGTCTTAGTGACATTATTGCCTTGCTTGAGGTAAAGTGATTAAAAAATTTTGTGACTTTAGACTTGAATATTCTTTTAATTTGAATTCAGAGGGCACTGATGGACCGATGTTATGTGGAAACCATAGATCCCACAGAAGTGTTACAATAACTATTGACAATTGGACAACTACAGGAGGGAAAATATAGAAGAGTATAAATGTAAGGTAGTCTTACTATTTAACAAGACCTTTAAGGTTGAACCTAATAGGGATCTGGCAATGAAGAAGCAGTTACTTACTATATTTAGGAGAGGTTTGTATAGTATACAGGTGCAAACTCAGATAATTAGGAAGGTCTTGCCAATCCTAGAAGAATCTGCCCAGATAGTGATATTGGAAAATTTAATCCTATTCCAAGTCAGATGTGAATGCTCTTACAAGACAATGGAACTTGATCATCCTTAATATCAAAGCAGGGTAGGAGGCAGACTAGAAACAATTATCAGATTGGTCAAGTTCTACTCTAGAGAGATAGTGGGAGGAAAAATAATCAAATATTTATGAGTTGTTCACCTGGTTGAATAGTTTTGGATTCTCTGATTGGTTGAATAGTTTGGGACTATGCACTGATCACCTTTTGGAGATGTGGTCATAAATGGCACATGCAGAGACACTGCAGATAAACTATGTATGACCTGATGATTGCCAATGCTAAAAAGAAGTACTATAGGAAATCTTAGTACTATCACCATGAACATAGATAGCGTAAGTTATAGAATACCATTAGAGAGACTTCAATTATACATAAGAGGGTGTTTGACTCTATGAAAAATAATCATGTTCTTGAGGATTGAAAAATAAATCTGCAAACAACTCACAAAATGTAATTGAGTTGATGTGTATGCAACTATAAGCTTTCAAGTTGGTTGACTAGAAGCTAAACATGGATTTTATGTAATTCATAATTTAAACAGAAATATTATTCTAGCTTGTGATTGGTTGCAGAAAAATAGTGCACATATTTACCATGATTTCAGAGCACTATACATCTAAGATACATATGTGTCTTTAGAATGGGATTTCCTTATAATGAATATAGTGCAAATGACCTTCAACACCACCTCTAGCGATATCAGTGTCAGCCAATATCTTGTTAAATGAAAACATCTGCAACATCAAAAAAAGTAATTCATCAAGGTTGGTGTCATCCAGTGACCTTTTTTGTCAGAGTCATTTGCCATCGTCCTTGTGAAGTCCACTTCATTTAGCTAATAATCATCAGGACAATAAATGTCTGAAACAATTTTTTGGACAGCACTATTGTTTCCATTTAACAAGATGTTGGCTGACAATTAGTGGCTATATCACCTTACTTGAGGTGAAATTTTTAGAACAAATTTGTGAATTTTGACTTGAATCTTGTTTTATTTTGAATTCAGCATAAATTTCCTTAACTTCAAACAGAGTAATTGATTGATTTTTTTTTATTTCTTATCAACCTCAAAAAGGTTGATAAACGAACACAGTGAAACATATTTTTAGAGTGTAAGATTTTTTGGGAGATAATAATGATTTTCTGATACAAGTCTTATTATTTAACCCATAGCTAGGAGAAGAGGTGTCATCATATATTTCACAAAAATATTTGCATGTAAGTAAATATACCAAGCCTAACTTCAAACTGAAATCAGTATTACTAATTAACTTTTAATAAATTCAGTCCAGCATCAGTTCTGTACAGCTTTTGAAAGTATGATTCAGTTAAAAATAATAATAAGTTTAATGGATGTTTTTTTAAAATCATCCAAGAGTTGTATTTGTAAAGGATGGCCTAAACAACTGGAATATTCATGCGCAAAATATTTATTTCAATTATCAAATATGTTTACATTATTTTCTGCTTTCATGACATCCTTTTATCAATTGGTTGACCTGTTACTGTATATTGATTTCTTTTGTTGACTGATTAAAAGCTGTTTTGGTAAAGTTGCAACTAGTAAGACTTGTATTTCAAGTTCTTTATTACAAAAAGACTTAATTTAACCGAATTTACTATCTTTTACAAAGGTAATCTTTTAATAGATAAGTTTTCGTCCACTGCTTACAACATCAAGCAAAAATCATAAGTGGCAACCCAGAGACATATGAACAGGGAATGGTCAGTATAAGCAGTACCCTACAACGTAACAACTACACTGGGTACATGGCAGCAGCTCTGACAAACTGGGAAAGAAGAGTACAAGAGGATAACAGCACTCAGTAAACAGTTTCAGTCTGCCTACCCTATGTGAAGGGATTATCGGAAAGATCTGAGGTCCATATAACATCAGGACGACCTTCAAAAGTTGTTCAACAAATTGCAGACACCTCTTCTGAATAAGACTCCCCCATAGAAGAGATCATGACCAAGGACTGTGTATGCCATCCCATGCAGCTGTGGTAAGAAATGTAAAGGAAAAATATGCCGTCCTCTTAAGGTAAAACTGTGAAGACATTGTAAAGCTGTAACAATTTTGTAAAAGTATTTTGATACACCCTATATATATATATATATATATATATATATATATATATATATATATATATATATATTTACTAGCAGCATGGCCCAGCGTTGCCCATGCTTGATTCAAAAATCGTACGACTCATACAGCAATCGCTATCACTTGACTTAAAATATTTTTGCCCTTCCTTGCCTTTAAAGGAGTGACCTTTTGACGTGCTGATGTTGCTACATGCCTTACTTCTTGCCTATCTCACACTGCAAATTTTTTCTAAGCTCTATACTAAACATTAAATCTTTTACGAAAAAAGAACTAAACAAAATGAACACAAAACGATTAGCTTTAAAAAAGAACTCGTAACTGGAAAAACTGAATGAAAAAAGAATGTTAACAACAAATACTTTTTCACACCCAACCCAGTTCTGCGGAATCAGAATCAACGTGGAGTTTAAGCAAGCGAATGAGCCAATTGGAGTAAAGTGCCATGCAGATTTCATTTTTTTCCACTTGTGACAAATGCAGTTATCAATTTTTTTGCATGCTAGCATGCTAGTTAACATTCGTGCCAGTCAGCTGTTGGCTCTCATGCTGGCCAATAGAATCTTCCTGCCTATTCGTGGCAGCCAGCTATTGGCTCTCACTCTGGCCAGTAGAAAATGGCCGCAGACTACATGAAAACTGCCATAGAAGCATGAAAAAATCCATTATTTTCACTATCGATGGGAGTTGGGAAATTAATGTAAAATTGCAAATGTCGAAATTTGGCTGTGCATTCACACACACACACACACACACACACACACACACACACACATCCTACCTTTTATAGATAGCGATTCATGTGTAGACAATATAATTAAAAGCTAATACAGAGGTAACTTTGGAAGTAAGTCGAAGAACTGGTTATAATTTTTCACACAACAGATAATGTCAAAGATTCAGCATGAAGTTAAGCACAAAAACGTATCTAAATATAAAAGAAAAAAACAAAGTGAACTATCATAAAATTAACAACAAACATGTCACTTTGCTTGTTTATCCGTCACATGTTACATATTACATAATGGCAGACAAATAATGGCCAGCTAGATTATGATTTTGAAATGCTATTTGATTTTGTTAGTGAAAGAAAGAAAGTATAAAAGGGGAAGAAATTCAAAAAGTGTAAGATAAATAATAGATGCAGAGAATAAGAAAGAAAGAGACAATGCATGAGCAATAAATAGAAAAAGAGTAATACAGATAATAGACACACAGAACAAGAACGAAACAAAGAAAGAATAAGAGGTCAACAACTAGAAAAAGAGGAATATAAATGTTATATTCCATGCTAATAGGAATATATACTTGAAAAACAAGGTGGATAAAATAAATAAAGGTTTATTGTAAAAAATCAGTACAATAAGAATAAAGGTAACAGTCATGCACAAGGTCATCACAAGTCAATCCAGTAGTAAGTGCTACTATTGGGAGGTCAGTAGTTCTTGTGTAAGTCTGAGTTGTACTCAACAGATACCAGCTAGTAATATTTACCAACCTCCCCACGGAGTAGGATGTAGCAAATGGCTGAATTTAATGTAGGGTAATACAAGACCATAGGCTCGGCTAAAAATTTTCTTTAAACCCCGCATAAACAGGTTTAAGTCTGTCTACCTCCCCGGATGAAACTCTGCCCTTCGGCATAGCCTCATCCAGGTTCCTCTCAACAACAGCTAAGAGCTGAGTAACTGATTCCAGCTAGTCAGTCTGTTGACTTACAGATACTTATAGTTAGTTACTACCTATAGTGTAGTCACTCATGGGAGTGACAGGTTATTCCATTACATCAATAAATAATAGACCTACAAAATAAGAAAGAAAGAAAGAAAGAATAAGAAGACAATAAATAGAGAAAAAATAAGATAAATAATAGACCCACAGAATAAGAAAGAAAGAAAGAAAGAATAAGAGGGCAAGAAAAGAAAAAGTGTAAGATAAATAATAGGAACAGAGAATAAGAAAGAAAGAAAGAAAGAATAAGAGAGAAATAAAGAGAAAAAGAGTATGATGAATAATACACCCATGGAATAAGAAGGAAAGAAAAAAAAGAAAGAAAAAATAAGAGGGCAAGAAATAGAAAAAAGTGCAAGATAAATAAAAGACACAGAGAATAAGAAAGAAAGAATAAGAGGGAAATAAATAGAAAAATAGTAAGATAAATAAAAGATACAAAAGAATAAGAAAGAAAAGAAAGAAAGAAAGAAAGAAAAAAAAAAAAGAAAAAAAGATAAATAATAGACCCACAGAAGAAAGAAAGAAGGCAAGAAATAAAAAATAGATAAATAAAATACACAGAAAGAATAATAGAACAATAAATAGAAAAAGAGTAAAATAAATAAAAGACACAAACAATAAGAAAGAAAGAAAGAAAGAAAGAAAGAAAAAAGAAAGAAAACGTGTAAGATAAATAATAAACATTGAGAATAAGAAAGAATGAGACGGCAATAAATAGAAAAAGAGTAAGATAAATAATAGACCCACAGAATAAGAAAGAAAGAAAATGAGATGGTAACAAATAGAATAGTAAGATAAATAAAAGACATAGAGAATGAGAAAAGAGAGAAAGAAAGAAAAAAAAATTAGAGAGCATTAAATAAAAAAAGAGAAAAATATATAATAGTCCCAGAGAATGTGAAAGAAAGGAAGGAAGAAAGCAAGAAAGAATAAGATGGCAATAAAAAGAAAAAGAATGAGATAAATGAAAGACGCAGAGAATAACAAAGAAAGAAACAAAGAAAGAATATGAGGGCAATAAATAGAAAAAGTGTAGGATAAAAAAAAAAACACAGATAATAAGAAAGACAGAATGAAAGAAAGAAAGAAAGAATAAGTGGGCAATAATCAGAAAAAGAGTAAGATAAATAAAAGACACAGAATAAGAAAGAATAAGAAGGCAATAATTAGAAAATGATTAAGATTAGTAATAAACCCAAAGAATAAGTATGAAAGAAAGAAAGAAAAAATAAGAGGGCAAGAAAGAGAGTGAGAGTAAGATAAATAATATACCCACCGAATAAGAAAGAAGGAAAGAAAGAATAAAAGTGTAGTAAAAAGAAAAAGATAAGATACATAATAGATACAGAGGAAGAAAAAAAGAAAGAATAAGAGGTCAAGAAATAGAAAAAGTGTACGACAAATAATAGACCCACAGAATAAGAAAGAAAGAAATGAGAAGGCTAGATATATAAATAATAGAGCCAGAGAATAAGAAAGAAAGAAAGAAAAAAATGAGAAGGCTAGATATATAAATAATAGAACCACAGAATAAGAAAGAAAGAAAGAAAGAAAAAAAATGAGAAGGCTATATATACAATTAATAGAACCACAGAATAAAAAGAAAGAAAAAAAAAATGAGAAGGCTAGATATATAAATAATAGAGCCACAGAATAAGAAAGAAAGAAAAAAAAAAAAAGGAGAAGGATATATATAAATAATAGAGCCACAGAATAAGAAAGAAAGAAAAAAAAAAAATGAGAAGGCTAGATATATAAATAATAGAGCCACGGAATAAGAAAGAAAAAAATGAGAAGGCTAGATATATAAATAATAGAGCCACAGAATAAGAAATGTTATAGACAAGCGTATGGTTGCAAGAAAGAAATACGACAACAGTAGAAATAGATTTACGTGGTTTATTTCAACAGGAACGTGAGGGTTTGGGACAGCTACCTTGGTGTGGTAAAATTCATAAGCCGGCTTTCGGATCTGGTCGATCTCTCATAGTAGTTCACACATGTTGACGGTGGTTGACGCTCTCCTGCTGACAGCTGCTAAACGTGACCGGTCTCTTTTGTGGCCACCTGTTGACTGATGCTGAACTTCCCTGTGACCCCTTTTATAGCGTTTTTTTTTTATGGCTTAACAGGCTCGAGAAACGAAGCGAGTATAATTAGGAGGGAAGCATTTTTATTGGACGAAAAATAGAGCACTTTAATTATGATATTATTTTTTGACCGGAACACGTGTGTCGGAAACATTTGTAAAGAAAGTTAATGGTCATTTTGTGACGGGGCTTTGTCCCGTTCACATCCGGTTCTCGCTCTTGAGTATTTGCCTGTAAATCAGCCGAGATATGTCATTTTATTTTATAACAAGGCTCCCCCAGATCTCGGTCTGATTTACAGTGAGCGTTATTCGTGTATATTTGGGTGATTAAGTCATGATAAAGTCTCTGAAGCGTGTGGGAAGTTGTCCTCGTTCTTCTTGTTGGCATTTGTTTTGGTATTGGGTTATTTGCTGAATTATGTGTCCCCGAGGGATGTGGAGGAGAATGATCCTGGTGACTGTTACATGGTGGAGGCAAAGGGATTGTATTAGAAAGATGTGTTGGGCGTGGAGCCAGTCGTCGGATATGTGCACGGTGAATCCAGATTGTATCACAATCATCGTTTTGCACCTGACACATCATACTGTTCGTTTTTATAATTGTGTAATTTCCTATCCAGGGCAGATGAGAGGATTGGGCAACAGTTGAGTGTGGCCGATGAAGTAAAACCTTGTCGCCTACTTGTATTGGGTCCTTGTATGTGAGGCGATTTAAGTTAGTCTCAAGATTGTGGTCAGCTTCATCGTTGGCCAGGGTGACGTGGTGGTGAACCTGCTTTAGCAGGGCATTAATTTGCATTCCATATGCTCCAGGATCGTCGCTTGTGATTTCTTTTCTGTGTGGGTGTAGGTAGGCCGATGTTGGGGTGACGGCCGGTAATGGCATAGTGCGAGGAGACACCGGTGGCGCTGTTGGTCGTGGCATTCATGGACGAAACGACAGATTCTAGAACGTCTGTCCATTCACAGTTTCTGTCTTCGCATAACATATAAAGTGCGTTCTTCATCGTGCGATGTTGTCTCTCGATATTTCCTGAGCTTTGCGGGTGCCAAGGACAGTGAAGTTCTTGCGTGATTGACATCTGGTTACAGAATTGTCGATAGACTTCTCCAGTCTCGAACATTTTCTAGCAGAAAACGGAGAAGGTCTGACCTGCGATTAGCAAGTTGTTCGTCAGTAGGATATCCCCGTCTGTATTTACTGGTTCACTGACGAGGGAGAAAAATAAGTTGAATACGAAGTTTTTGCTCACGACCGTGTCGTGTGTCTCTAACGTCTTCTGGTCGAAAACGGAGAAGGTCTGACCTGCGGGCAGCAAGTTTATTCGTCAATAAGATATCCCTGTCTGTATTTAGAGTTTGGTTCGCTGACGAGGGATAAGTTCTGCTTGCGACTGTGTCGCGTCTCGAACGATGGGTCTCAAACGTTTTCTGGTCGAAAACGGAGCAAATGGTTGACCTGCGGTAACGTCAAGATGAGAAGAAATCTTGGTAAATAAGTGTGGGGTCAACATCGTTGAGATAAGATATTCCGGCCCGCATATGGGTTAAGGGCACGGAATAAATGAGTTGTCCGTCTAGTCAGGTCGAAGATCGGGAAGCAACTGGTTTGCAAACGCTGGCCGTTTTTTTGAGACGCCGCGAAACGCGCGGGAAAAAATTCAAAATCTGTTAGTCTGAGTTCATCAGTAGGAGCTAGCGAAGGTTACTGCTATGTCTAGCTATGAGAGGAAGAAAGGGGTGAAAACCGCGCACACACGCATGAGTGTGAAAGGAAGGGAGGAAACTCGCGCGCGCGTAAAATATAGATGGAATTAATGTGTTAATTCCATAAGGGTAGTAAAATATCTGTTGCCTTTGCCGATTTTGTTGAACAAGTGGTCGATCCTTGGCATTGGGTAAGGGTCAAGATCGACTAAGACCTTGTTGAGAGTTCTTTTAAAGTTAGCAACGACACGAATCGATCCGTTTTTCTTGCGTACGGCAAATACAGGGCTATTGAAGCCTTTGGGGTCGCTGCAGTTTTCAATGATACCTTCATCAGCCTTAATTTCGGTATCTACGTCTGCTTCCAAAGCCTGGGCTATCGGGTGTTGTTTCTGGCTGCGAGACTGGCCGTTGGTTGGTATGCGGATGGGCCTTTGCTGCTGGCGTTTCGGTCCCGATAATGTTTGCGTAGCGAATGCCGATAATGTCAGCGTTGCGAATGAGTGGCCTCTGGTTCGTCTCGGTTCGGGTGGTTTGGTAGCGATAGTCCCGTGTTATGTTTTAGCCAGGTTAGCTTTTTGATCCAGTGTCTGGATGTTGGGCGGTAGTTACATAGTAGGCTGGTTTTGGGTGATGTCAGCTTGGGCGCCATATGCTGGATCGTTGGTTGACGATGACGGTGATATGATTGCGGCTGTGTGTGTTGTATATCCTGAGGAAAGTGTGCGTCTGAATTCTATAGTCGCATTTTGGTTGTCAATTAGATAGGAATCGAGCGTGTTGTGACGTAGGATATTTTGGCCGATCAGGATTGGTGTGGTTTGGGTAGTTACCAGCACGTTAACCTTTTTGAATGTGGGTGAGTCTAGACTGCCGATGGTGATGTCGCAAGTCAGTTCGCCGAGAGCGGTGGTGCTGCCGTTGATTCCTTTTACTACAATGTCGGAGCGGGTCATGAGTTTCTTGACTTCTCTGGGTAACCGAGATATTGGTACGATGCAGGTGGAGCATCTAGAGTCTAGCATTGCTACGCCAGAGAAGGTGATGTCCCTGAAGTTGAAGGTGGACTGGACGAGCGGTGAATGGTAAGCGAGTCCTTGAAAGTTAAAGGTGTGATGGCTGACGTAGGGGCATGGCGAACGAGGCATCACATCTCGTCCTGCCCGAAGCGAAAATCCTGTTCCACATTATTTATGGCTTGTATATTGTCATTCGTTGCGGCGATATGGGCTTGTGCCCGAGTGCGAGGTGGGTGGCGATATACGCATTTGCGTCCATGGTAGCAGGGGCGACCTCTGAGGTAGTTTTGCACACGCTGATTCGTGGTGTGTTCTGATGGTTTCTGCGTGTCGGATGGTGGCCATGTTCGGGAGGGTTGGTGAGGCCCGTCTGCTGTGGGTTTGGTTGCCTGCTGGGTCGGAGTGGCGCGTTTCTTTGGTTTGACCGCTGTGGTTTCTGTGTGAAATACACAGTGTCGTGCGAAGTTGTGTCGTTGGATTTTACACCGCGATCAAGGTATATTTGAGCTTCGGAGGCTATGCCAATGGCTGAATAGTGGTTGTCCATTGTCTTGACGAGATGTGGGTAGAGATTTGAGTTCCAAATTTTCACCTTTTCGCTCATTAGCATAGCGCCGATGATGGAAATAAGTCCATCGACTGTTAAGTCTGTATTTTTGTCTTTTTGTATTTGTTTTTTTATGCGGACGGCTGCCTCTCTAAGGGTGTTTTCGAGTCGACCCGCGAAGTCTGTTAATTTTTCGCCGTCTCGCCGTTCCAGGTCCCAGGCTTGACTGAGGGCTCCTAATAAGTATTCCTTCAGTTGTTCGAAGGTGGATATGTCCTTTTTGAGTCAACCATTTGCTGAAAATACTTTGGTCCAGTAAATCTTTAGCAGACTTGACGAATTCGCATTCCAGGCTGGGATAGATGCTGAGTTCTGGCGTGACGTGGATTGTGTATGCTTTGTTTAGGGCTGTGATGAATCGGTTCACGTCGTGTCCAGGGTGAAAAGTTTTCTCTAGCTTCAATGTGTCGCGTATAGTTTGTTGGCGCATCATTAAGCAGTAATCGCCGTTTGTTTGAGCGGTGGGAAGTGTTGAAGTAAATTTTAGGGGAGTCAGCATGTCGTTTATGTCGGCTTGAATTTCCTGTATTGTGGCTTCGGAAGGCTGTGTTGGTCCCGTTTTCAAGTTTAATAGTAGTGTTTTCTGTTCCTTGATGAGAGTAATAGTTCGGCTCGGGTGAAGCTCGTGTAGTCGGACATATTTCTCTTGCTGTACGCTTCTGACACCAGTGTTATAGACAAGCGTATGGTTGCAAGAAAGAAATACGACAACAGTAGAAATAGATTTACGTGGTTTATTTCAACAGGAACGTGAGGGTTTGGGACAGCTACCTTGGTGTGGTAAAGTTCATAAGCCGGCTTTCGGATCTGGTCGATCTCTCATAGTAGTTCACACATGTTGACGGTGGTTGACGCTCTCCTGTTGACAGCTGCTGAACGTGACTGGTCTCCTTTGTGGCCACCTGTTGACTGATGCTGAACTTCCCTGTGACCCCTTTTATAGCGTTTTTTTATGGCTTAACAGGCTCGAGAAACGAAGCGAGTATAATTATTTTTTTGATTTTTATTGGACGAAAAATAGAGCACTTTAATTATTATTTTATTTTTCGACCGGAACACGTGTGTCGGAAACATTTGTAAAGAAAGTTAATAGTCATCCGGTGCTCGCTCTTGAGTATTTGCCTGTAAATCAGCCGAGATATGTCATTTTATTTTATAACAGAAAGAAAGAAAGAAAAAAATGAGGAGGCTAGATATATAAATAATAGAGCCACAGAATAAGAAAGAAAAAAATGAGGAGGCTAGATATATAAATAATAGAGCCACAGAATAAGAAAGAAAGAAAAATTAAGATGAAGACACAGAGAATAAGAAATAAAGATAGAAAGAATAAAAGGGCAATAAATAAAAAAAAAAGAGTAAGATAAATACACAGAGAATAAGAAAGAAAGACGGTACAGAGCTTGACCTGCTCAACTGGAGACGAATCTCCAATTAATTGCCACAGCAACGTTATTCACCTTACCTAACCAACAAGGCAGGATGTGGCACAAGGCCGTTTTTAATGCAGGGCAAAACTGAGCCCATAGGCTCGGACAAAAATTCCCTGTAGAACCCGTATACATGTGGTTGGGTAGCTGTCTACCTCCCTTCGGCATAACCGTGTCTGGGTTCTTCTCTGCCTGAAGACAAAAAGATCGACTGGCTTAGCTGGAGACGAATTTCCAACTAATTGTCGAAGCAAGGATATTTGCCAATCACCCCATGTAGTCAGATGTGGCACAAGGCCGAATTTAACGTGGAGTATTCAAGCCCGTAAGCGCGGGTAAAAATTCCCTGTAGACCCCGTAAAAAACAGGCTCGGTAGTTGTTCACCACCCCAGAAAAGACCCATGCCTCCTTCAGCATAGACCCTTTGCTGGGTTCCTCTCTGCCCGAAGGCAGAGAGTTCGACTAGCACAGCTGGAGATGAATCTCCAACTATCCGAATGAAGCTATGTAAAAGGTTATTTACCTCACTACCCACGAGGCAGGATGTGGCACAAGGCCTTTTAATGCTGGGTAAAACCAAGCCCCATAACCTAGAGAGTAAGATAAATAATAGAACCAGAGAATAAAAAAAGAAGAAAGAATAAATGGAAAGGAAGAGAAAATAAAAAAAGACCCTGTAAAAAAACAGGCTTGGGTAGTTTTGAAATCTTGTTAAACTCCTATGTTTTTTTTTTTTTTTTCAAATATATATCATTTTATCCTTTTAAAAACTGATCTGAAAGGAAAATATTTATTCATTAAATTAAGAATTATGTCTCATCAGATAATTCAAAACTGGTAAACCATGAAATTAAAAATATGGATAATAATAGAATTAAACAACCAAATGTTTTTTTGCATTTTTATGTTTTTTAATAACATAAGAAATTGAAAACAAAGAATATTATCATATTTGAGATTATAATGTTATAAAAATATATAAAATAAAATATGAAAATAAATTATATAAATAAAAAAAATTAAAATTAAAATAAGGTGTTTGCTTTCCTTTAAAACCATTTCTCTTTTTCTCTCTCTCTTTCTACTCTTCTCTATGTTGGTCCAGGGTGAGGGGTCAGTCTACCTGGATTTTAGGTGGAAAAATAAAATCTGAGTGTTGCACCCACAAATACAACACAAAATTATAAACAATATGAAGAAATGATCTTCAGAGAAAAAAAAAACCACGCTTTATATTTTTACATACTCAATGTTCTTTGTTTTGCTCATGAAGAGACCAAAAGTTTGACTGTTTGAAATGATTTGTCACAATTGATGAAAGCAAATGGTATAGTACACCAATATGCATGTGTGTGTGAAACATATGCTAATGAAACATGTATGTGACTACTGAGTGATGTGTGTGGTAGCAGTAATTTTAAATACGATGAATAAAAAAAAGAGAGAGGAAACAGGATGTGCTTTTGTCATGTTTTTCATTGTAGAAAAATCATCGCTGACTGACACATTATCATGGTCACATGTGTCTATACTGTTGATCGAGGTAGGATCATGTTCGGAGACTGTCTTTCGCAGATGTAGTCCTGACTGTTCTTGGTGAACTGTTTTTATTGCTATGGCTTGGCTCCGAATTACTATCTGAGTTTTGCATGGGAATCTACTCTGATTTTCTATGTCATTTGGAATTCAACCACATAGATGTTGGAGAAAACACATCATGTGATTTTTCCTATCCAATCAGGTTCTAGAAACCATTTATTTAATTGGAGCTCTGTGCAAATTTGCAAAAGAGTTTTCGAATGTACTGAATTTAGTAAGATTTACTTGTTTGTGCTTCAATTAGTGAACATAAAATATAGGAGTTTATACCATATAAGGGACTAGTTACTGTAACTAGAAATCTACTAAAATAAGAAAGGCTCCATTGCATAACTTTCACTATGGAAACACATCAAAAAGAAAGGAACACCAAAAAATAAAAGATTTTTTCCAATAAAAAAAACAAAGACTTTTTATGTTAGCCAAAACCAAGCTTTGCACCAGTAGCATTGAATCCTTTCTTAACTAGGTATCAACAGACAGCCGAGAGGCAGAGAGAGAGAATCGGCCACGAGATAAACATGTCAATCATGTTGTATGAAAAAACTAAGTAGTCATCTGCTTAAGAGATTTTTCTGCCCTTCTAAGGACCAAGAATAAACAGCAGATTTCCAAAGTAATCACACTCTTACAGCAGCCAACAAAATGACAACTGCTACCAAAGTCTGACTATCTATTAACAAATACCTAGCTGAATGAACTTTCACTACCTCGATTTACAAAGGACTCACTCCAATTAAAGTCAAATAAATAAATATATATTATTTGTTTATACCTTTGATTCTTTTTGTCTATTTCCAAAGTTTCTGATAATATTACTAAGAACCTCTAGGCACAATATAAGAATTACATATTTTATCACCAAAACATGATTCAAATATGAAATATAAAAAAGTACTGTACCTGGCCTAAATACATGATGCTGTAATATTAAATGTATATAGGGAGTCTTATATGTGAAGTCAATGTATCTGGTAGTCTAATATTTAACCAGCTTCCATAGATTACCAGTACTTGTAGCTATCCTAAATCCATAATATTGTAATAATTGCATGTAAATAGGAAGTCTTATATACAAAGTTGAGGTATCTGGTAGTCTAATGTTTATCCAGATGCCATAGATGACCAGTAATTTTAGCTAGCTGAACTCCACAATACTGTAATATTAAATTTATATAGGCAGTTTTAGATGGGAAGTTGAAGAATTAGTTAGTCTAATATTTACCCGGATGCCATAGACAACCAGTAATTGTACGCAACTATAATTTTACATAAATTGTGTAAATTTATGCGCTGATGATTGGTTGAAAAATAACAGAGATCTTGCTTAAGGTATCTCCATCACAGTCTAAGGGTCACATACAATTTTGAATTCAAAACTGTCTTACTCCTAGACTGATTTTTCCATTTATCAAATTTTTTAAAAACATATATATATATTGTATTCAAAATTCTTAATACAAGGTTTACATATATCTACTTGCAAAAGACTGGGTACCACAAACAATATGAATTTTTTACTTACTGTTTGGTTGTCATGAGCCTGAAATTGAGCATCTTGTTAGTGTAACTTCAAAGAGCAAAACGAGGAAGATTGGCTTTCCCACCTAACAATGTCTCATGCGGTTCTCATCTGATCACATGAATGTTTTTTATTCTTGTGAATATTTATAATTAGTTTTTATTGTTATTTTTTGGTTTGGATTAAGGGTAGATAAGATTTTGTCTCTCACTACACTTTCAGCGGACAAAATGTTCATATTTGAAGCAAAACTCAATATGAATGCATCAGTCATATAATACACAAACATACTCAATACCTCTTAATCCTGACTGAGTAACCTCAAAAGAGAGTTTCTATTGGCTCATGTGCAATAAGGTCTCCTCTGAATGGTCACAAAGAGAGAGCAAGGTAGAACAACCAGTTCTTAAGATATTCAAAATGGTTGGATACATTCTAGATAGTTCTTTTATACTGTTCCATCAGTTCACCAAACTATGGTCAACATATGAACAAAACATATCATGTGATTTCTTGGATAAAAATCAAAGGAAGAATAGTAAACAGATCAACTTCTACAGAAGGAGTTCCAAACATTTATAATGTTTCAATTTAAGTGTCATGTGTCATCTTCTGTTTAATGTCTATTGAATCTCAAGTCAAATTTAATCAGAATTTTCGTTCTGCAATTATTTACTTTTCCCATCTGTCTTTTCTTGAATTCATATCAATAAAATTTATAAATATTTATGAAAGGTTTCATTATGTATAGAATTAAACTGTTTTAATTCTTTAAATGATCTTGAAAGAATTATAGCAACTTCTTAATTAACTTTTATAAAAATAATTTTTTCTGCAGGAAGCATGATGAATAGGCCATTAGATTATTAATGTTATGACAATGAGAACCAGGTTTGAATCTAACTGTAGTTGATCAGTCAATGATATGACCTCTTGATAAAATAGACCTGGGGCGAGAACACAACTTTGATGTGTCAGCTAGTCCAATATTTACCCAGATTCCACAGATTAACAGTACTTGCAGCTAGCCAAAATCCATAATGCTGTAATATTAAATGTAAATGGGGAGTCTTATATGCAAAACTGAGTTATCTGGTAGGCTAATATTTATCCAGATGCCTTAGATTATCAGTACTTGTAGCTAGCCGAAATCCATAATGCATTAATATTAAATGTAAATAGGGAGTCTTATGTACAAATGTGATGTATCATGTTATCCAGATGCCATAAACTCAGAGTACTTGTGTTGATCTCAAGGTTGGATTTTTGGTAGAGTAAAAGAAACAAACTTGGACACTTGTTTAGATAATGACCAAAGATTTATTTTTCTATACAAGTTACAAAAATGTCTCTAGCAGGTGGTATCCTGTAGCAGGTTGAATGTGCAGTGTATTAGGTGTGAAGTGAGAGCATGAAAAAGGAGTATGCTTAACCCCAGCTGACTGCATCGTAGTTATTGTTTGTGCTTGTCACATTGATAGGGTTCATTCATTTACTATTTACTGGAGGTTGTTTAGCAAAAGGAACAGCCCAACATATAAATTATGAGGCATAACTGCCAAACTGGTACTGTGCTTAAATTTGGGAGGTCATGGTATTAAAGAAGAAAGCAATATTTACTTTGAAAAATACAAAAATGTGGCACAAGGCCAAAAGTAGGGATAGGGGAAAGCTGATCTTTAAGCTGTCTTATTTTAAACTTAGCTAGGCACAATTACTGACCCAAATATAGCACAGTATTCCTTACACTAAAACAACACATTCTTACTACAAACACCATTATACCTTAAAATCAACTATGTAGTCCTAACTAGTTCCCATATGTACCAAAGAGAACAGATCATTGGAACAATTAACAGAAAAGTATTTATAGAAAAGGCACAGGTAATTTACATGATGGCAATGGAAAAGTGACTGAAACCAAGATGCCAGATCAGAACCAATGACATTGCAGATTCTTCTTTGAATTACCACAAGAATCTCTAGATACTTAGCAGAAGTGCAAGTTTTTTTTGCACATTTTTATAAGTAACACACATATATAATATATAAATAATATATATAAAAATTGCATATATATATATATATATATATATATATATATATACATATATTTTTACGCACACACACACACACACACACACATATATATATATATATATATATATATATATATACATGTGCAGGGTGGGTCAAAAGTAGGCTTACAATTGTTTCACCATTTGTTTCATGTTTTTAGTTTAGAGCTAACTTCACTGAACTGTTGTTTCAGCAAGTAGGACTACCTTCCTAACACCCCCCATTATCCTTTGGCAAGGGACTACATTAACCTTACCTTCCATAGCATTGGTTTGAAACAAGGGGCAGCATCAAATGGACACCACGTTCACCTGACCTAAAACCAATGGATTTCTTTTTTGGGTGGGATGTTATAGTAATGAACAAGTTTTTTTAAGAGAAATCATCACATTGTGGATGAATTAAACAAGTACATCTCAGAAGTATGTATTGAAATTGATGCAGATCAGGATTTGTGCTGTGTGTCATAGTTTTCTAGAGATTCAAGAAATGTTGCAATGTTGTAAAAGGACATTTTGAGCACTTAAGAGATTAGACTGTGCTAAAAAATGTAAGTAAATGTACATAAACAGTTTTGAACAATATGATTGCAACAAATAAATATAAATGTAATAAAATGATTTTTTTTAAAAAAGTAAATTGCACACCTACTAAATGTAAGCCTGCTTTTGGTACACACACATATTACTATTATTTTAGAAAAGAAAATATTACCAGCAATACAATTTTGGAAAAAAAAATATTACGAGGAGTTCTTAGAAACAAACAGCCAGATTACCAGTGTAGAACCAATTACACTTTTTTGAAGAGTACAATATCAAGAACTAGTACATTGATACTTGGGAGTTATTTTTTGAAAAAACAAAAATTACCAGCAATACATTTTCAGGAAAAAATATTACCAGCAATACACCTTTGGAAAAATAAATATTACCAGCAATACTATTTTGAAAAAAATATTACCAACAAAACATTTTTGGAAAAAAATATTGCCAGCAATAAAAATCTTGTCAGTATTAAATAACCCATTGAAGTTGATATGCCATAAAACAAAAAAAAACAAAAAAAACAAACTATTTGTTGCTATAATTACAAATTCATAGTGCTTAAAAAAAAATTGAGTTTCTACTTCAACATGAGTAACCATCAAATTGCATCTGGCATACTAAGATATACTATTGGAGCAAAAATAATTAATTCCTTAAAAATTATATGTGTATTTTTTCATTTGCCCTGAGAAGTAGATAAAATAATTAAAACTTTATGAATTCTTCAGAAATATATATATATATATATATATATATATATATATATATATATATATATATATATAAGCATGTGAACATTAAAAGGTCAACACCCAGCCATTGGTTGTTGACCTCAATGATATTTTTATATTTATCTCTATCCCTTGTATTGACCACTTTAACCCATAAATATAGCATACCTTAAAACTATATTTTATCTTATATATTTTAATATATTTATTGTTTATCTTTATTTTTAAATAAATGGTTTTGTTTATAATAAACCGTATTAACAATATTAACAGTTCATTATAATATATATATATATATATATATATATATATATATATATATATATATATATAATTATTTATTTAAAATATGATTCAAAACGCTACATAAGAAGTCTCATGTTTCAAAACAAGAGCCGAAAACTTCAATATAATTATTTAAATTAAATTGAGTTAAAATAAGCTCTGTTCCATCTTCAAGCGAAATTTTTTTTTTGGAATAACGTATATCTGAAATTTACGTGTTTTAAAACTTCTTGTGTAGCGTTTTGGAATCGTATTTTAAATAAATAATTATATTTATGCTCTACTTTTGTATCAAGCACTATTTTAAAAAAATAATAACTAAAATACTAAGGGACTTTGGATTATTTACCTAACCAGTTCCTTCCTATTTTCTATATATTATTTTCACACACACACACATATATATATATATATATATATATATATATATATATATATATATATATATATATATATATCCAAGTATATGATTAGTGTATACAAAATAAATTCCAATAACCAACAATTACTATTCTTAAAAGAGTGCTCAATACAAGTAGAGTAAATATAATTATTTATATAAAGATTATAACATAAATATTTTATAAAATCACTACAAAATTGCTATTTTGTTTCAACACCTCTGGTGTCTTATCAAGTGATGATGTTGAATGTACATCAACACTTGATAAGACATAAGTGTTAAAACAAAATAGCAATTATAACATATTTATATTATAATTAAATAAATAAATATATTATATATATATATATATATATATATATATATATATATATATATATATATATATATATATATATATTGGACTCTCCTGTCATTTTTCATTGCATGAAGGTACAGCAACTCAGTACTTAGAAACAAAAGAGCAGATTACCAGTGTAGAACCAATTACACTTTTTGAAAAGTACAATACGAGAACTAGTACATTGATACTTGGGAATTATTTCATGTTGGGCTTCCATAGATTTCATTTAGCTTATCAATATCTTGTATGTAAATTTTTTCTCATTTACATTATTAAACCAAAGATGTCATCACAGTTCTTTGATTAGTTCCTCTAGTGAAGATAACAGATTGACTTTTAGACATATCAGTGTGTAAAGTTACTGGGGTTGGTCAAGAAGACTTGACACTTGTTTCATTTAGGTATGAGTAAACAATTTGACAGTCACAAGAAATGTATAAAAACCATTCCAATCACGCCAGAGTGGTATAATCTCTACAAGTTTCAGAAGAGATCACTGCTTCAATTGAACAAAAAGGAGGCAACATGCATTCTTGCAGTTTATTCGTACCAATATTATTATTGCTCTATATAACAACAGGTAAAATACATTTTTCACTAATTAATGCTTTTTTAACAATTCCTTAATGAATGTATCCCAAGGTACCTCAGTATACCAATATGTTTATAGGAATTATGAAAAGTACATTTATTTATTTATTTAGGGTGCAAACAATAACAAAGCTTCAAAACTATCTCATAGAAAGTTACAAATGTTTATTAAAATGATACAAAACAATATAACAGTACAAATCTGACAAAAGGGCTTGTACAAAAATATTCTTTTATGCACCTTATTAAGGACAACTCTAAGATAACAAAATTATAGAAAGAATTAACTGTAAAAAAGATTCATAATACAATTATTTTCAAAAAAGCTTTGAGGGAAAAACAAAATGTTGGATAAAAGAAGAAATTAATCTTAGAAAAAAATGAAACAACCACTTCAGAGATAAATAAAAAAAAACAAAACAAATTTTTAACAATATTTTTTCAAAGTCATTTTGTTCTTTTCTGCTTGGGCCCAACTTGGCTCACTGCTTTTGATTTTCCATGAAAGTTTCCAGAAAGT